CTGACAACAGAGCAAGACTCTGTCAAAAAAAAAAAAAAAAAATCTTTAATATATATACTCAGAATAGTTAAATAATTTATAATAAATCTGTGTTTCAGAATGTCATTAAGAAAACAATATGTTTGAAGAATGTAAATCAAGAGAAGTTTCTCAAAGTGTGACAAGTTGTGTTTTTAATAAGAAAGCTATAAAAGAATATTTTAGTAGTATAAAATTGATAATATTTTGATAATCTGAAAAAAAAAACATTGAGGATAATTGAAAAGACTGTGCAGAAGTTTAAATGTAAATCCTTACTTTGGTATATAAAACTGGGCTATTTTGTCCCTTGGACTAGAATTAATTATTAAAATGGAAGTTTTTGTAAAAGGAGAAACATAAATAGCCTGTTCCTATGGGGACAACATTCTTGGCATCATTTTGTTCCTTGTACATCTTATTGTTTTCAAAACACCAGAAATGTGATAAATAGCAAGGTAATGTCAAGTTTTGAAAGTGTTGCTACAGAAGCATCGATTCCAGAAATTCCAAGGTGAGGTCCGTATGGCACCTGTTCTACAGGACATGTGTGTTTCTTAGAAAAAGCAGGTTCTATGCCAAATGAGTTTGGCTAATAATACTAAATCTCATTGACTCTAAAACAGAATTGATTGTAAGAAATACCATTATCAATTCCAAAATTTGACCAAATAGGGAATCTAACATTCCCATAAAGCTAGGTTAACAAAGAGCTACATCCTCAGTGTAAAAGAGAAATCTTCATGCAGAAAGGGACTGGAAGGAAACTAGCCTATGTCAATTATCCACTAAGTAAAGGGAGAAACAAAATCTCTCTTGAAAACATGAGCCACAAGCTGGTATTCACCAGAATTTGCAGTCTGAACTCAAAAAATCTTTGGAAAGAGAAAGATCTTAGGTTGACAGCAGCACGCACAGGGAACTGGCACAAGTCACACAAATGCTCTCTGATAAAAAGGGACTTCAAAACAGATCAAGGGGTATTGTAACATACTTTTGACTGTAAAGACATATCCAAGTTTTAGAGATCTCAGATGTGAAAAGACATATATATGCATCTTGGAGTCAAATATAGCAGTGTTTCTTTGCAGTTGGACTTGTCAGAGCCTTTAATAGACTAATATGAATTGCAAATTTTTAAGCCTGAAGAGAGAAGATGGGAAGGTGAGAGTGAGAGGAAATGGAATTTACTGGACAGTAGAACTCCCAAATATTATTATTTAGAAAATATCAAATAAAGAGCTAATATAGACAAAGAGGCGAAAACAACCCAAATGTCCACAGATGGATAACTGGATAAACAAAATTTAGTGTATACATACAATGTAATGCAATTCAGCCTTAAAAAGAAGGGAAATACTGTCACATGCTACAACATGGATGAATCTTGAGGACATTATGCTAAGTGAAATAAGTATGTCACAAAAAGACAAATACTGTATGATGGGTATCTATAGTAGTAAAACTCATAGTAAAAACAAGTCGAATGGTGGTTGCCAGGGACTTGGAGAAATGAAGAGTTGTTATTCAGGGGATATAAAGTTTCAGTTGCACAGAATGAAAAGTTTTAGAAATCTGTTACACAACAATATGTATATACTTAGCACTAATGAACTCTACACTTAAAAATAGTTAACTTGGTACATTTTCTGTTATGTGGGTTTTTTTTTTTTTTACCGTAATTAAGCTAATATAGACCATGATTGTAAAACCTACTTCATATGGTTATTGTAACTATTGAGCTAATGCAGGTAAAACATTTAGACAAAGCCCAAAACATAGTAACTACTATTTAGATGTTAGTTACAACTTGCTTTTGTCCCTGCTTGTTAGTGTCAGCAATATCATGATTGTACAAAGAAGCTGACCTCACTGCAATGATATCACTACATGGGTCCTATTACTGATTTGCTGTCCTCTCCTCTCCAACAGGTAATAAGCAATTACTACTCATTACCCTCCTGGAAAGCCTATCTACTTCTCTGACAAGTCTGGAAATAAACTTTAAACCTTCCACAACATGAATAGCTAATACAAGTTGTGAAATCACATTTTGCCATGCCCATAAAGTGCACACTTCTTAGATATTCATTCCCATACTCAGGACATAAGGTCCAGGAGGCACCATGGCCTGACACATAGTAAAGTCTTAGTGAATATTATTAAATGAATGAAATCCTTAGTGGGACCAAAGGACCCTTTCCAATATAAGCTTGGATCCCAATTTGACGAGGTCATCATAGAAATTGGGACAAAGTATATAGCAGCCCAGGACACCTGCTCAGAGGCCCAATTATTTTTATATGGTGATCGTTGCTCTGCCTAAAAAAAATGTATCCTGCCCTATTTAAATCAGCCAAGAGACCTGGAAAATCTACTCTGTGTCTTTCCTAGAATGAAAGGATGTATCACCTGTAACCTAGTTAACTATTGTATTATATTAATATTAACACAACTGAGAAAAACAGCATTCTACATTCTGAAATCAGTTCCATAACCACATTTAGATCTTAGGATCCTGAGCCCCTTTGTCACGATGATAGTCGGGCCACACACATTTACACACACCAGATCTGGAGCCTACAGAGATGGCCCCTAGGGTGGCTCAAGTGGCAACTGTGTGAATGACTGTGGGCACACTGGAATGGCTCTCTGCTGCACCTGTCTCAAGCATGGGAAAGGGCTATAGAAACACCACACCACATGAAATGACTAGAAGGCCTTTTATATGGCAGGTAACATTCAAGATTTTATTAGAGATGTATTGATAAGTTAGATGTACTTCTTTTCCTCAAGGAGCTAATGGTTAAGCTAGGTAAGATGAAAACAGACTGGCTAAACCAGGGAAAGAAATCCTGTACCCTGAACAGACATCCTGTTTCCACCTGACCCTGTCTTTGTGCAGGTATAATATGCTTCAGGGACAGAGGCCTGGCAAGAGGGCCGAAAGGACTTAAAGTGCTCTGGAAACATTCAATTGCAGGAGATCAGCTGTTTGCTGAACTGGCTCCTCTGCTTTAGAAAAGATGATTAGGGTCCAATGTTGTTAACAAAACAGAAAGTCGGCAGATGGGACTTTACTCTGGTCTGGGTTCAAGGAAGCATAACCTGGGATATTCTCCTAGGTTTTCTAGCTCAGTGGTCCTCAGAGTACAGTTCTAAAGGCTAGACCTCAGCAGACAATGTAAAAAACAAAAGGGAAAGAAAGGGACACAGAAAAGAAACATGCTAAGTTAAATCAAACATTTCAGAAACCTAACCACAGACAGGTAGTGTGCCTTACAGCTGAGTTCAACCATCAGCTACTTATGTCTTTGGAGCAATTACTGTTCTCCCTTGCTGTTCTCTTTTAAAATGTAAATACTGGTGAAAGAATAAAAATTCTAGTTGCTTCATCTGGCTCTGACCAATTTTATCAGATTCCAGAAAATAACCTAAATGTAGAGGTTAGAAGTCATTGAACATTAGTTTCAACTTCACAGTTTTAACAGACAACTTAGCTGAACAGTTGCCCATTCAAGCTTAGTGTGTCTGCAAATGCAAATCATTGACTACTCTTCTGTGTTCTAAGAGGTTTAAATGAGGGTTTGTCCCTTCATAGTCTTGAGATTATTCAGCCTTAAGTCTTTGGAGTATGAAAATTAAATACCCCTTAGCATATAGTCTTGCTTTGTTCTTCCCTGGAAGGAAAATCAACAGACTAGGAAGGCACAGGCCACATTCCCATGCTTGTCTTTGTTGGACAAAGGAGGAATTATGAGTATGTAAACATCCCCAGCCCCATGACTACTCTGAAGTAGCACTAAGATAAGATAACTTCTGTTTCTGAGAAGCTAAAATAAAGACTCTGCTGTACTTCAACTGTCAAGAGATTAACAACAAAAAAGGCAAAAATATCAACATAATCTACTCTCAGCTTGGGGCATGTTATCCTAAAAAGAGAAAATTAGGAATGCGAACAGGTGTGCCTCACTTTAAGAAATCTCAACTACCCAGAAAAAGGGGAAAATGTTGAAAATGTATTTTCACTGTAGAAAGGATTCACTAATCTCCCTTGGCACATTTAAGAGAACAGAAGATGCCAAGATTTCATTTATACTCAGTCTTTTCAGCATAAAATTATTTTTAAAAAATTACCTTCATGCATATGATTGATTAAACCCAAAGAAAGGAGTAACAATTGAATAAATCTGAGAGTTATGGTTACCATTTCATTCTCAAGGACAATCTTTTTCTTATATTGTTGCTATTCAAAATTTCAATGCCCTATCTACATTTAAGTTTTTGGTAAAAATTTTTTTTATTTACAAGTATATTTAAATGATATAGACATTACATTTCACAGTTGATTGACTGGCTCAAAACTTTTCTGATATCGAAGATGTGGAGTTAAATAAATGTCCTTTAAAATGGATATGAAGTGATATAAAAATAAAATCCTAATTTATAAATTTGCTAATTTTTCTTTCTTGCTACAGCATTATCTATGTATCAACTTTTAGCTGATGAACTGCTGTCTAAACAGCTTTAAAGTCAGAGTACCAATTACTTCTCCCTGATATAAAATACATTTACCCTCAGTCCAGATGCATTCATGTATTGGATATGAAACCATCTCCCTACTAAAGATAGCTCAACATTTCTTATTAGTGATGCACAGATTTCTGTTCTAAATTAAAACTCTACCACAAACTTACCTGTCATCATACCAAAAACATTTCAACAAAAACTAACATATGCATGGAAGGAGTACTCACTGGTTGACTATCTAAATAAGAAAATAAATAAAATTCTAGCTGGATATGTATTCTTCTTGGGTTCAAAGCTCAAGTCAACTATCAATTACATAATTGTAATACTGTCACTTGAATCGGCCATTAAAAAATGCTCTCAATTTATTAGTAAAGAGCTATGCAGAGTCATTTGTAATCCAGAGGATCATAGACAAAAAAAAAAAAGAAAGAAATATGCTTTTTACCAACCTGGGCTGAGAAACCACAGAAGAAACCAAACCAGAAATGCACAAGTGTAAATGCAAAATTCTTATAGAAGAAATAGCATAAGAATTTGCACATTCGGAAATAAGACCACCTTCCATGAACAAGGAGAAGCCGCTGGAGATATCTAAACTGTGCAAATGAATAGTCGCTGGCCAAGACTGCTTGCAATCCTTCCTGGCCACTGATGCCAACACCAATGTGAGCACCTACAAAGGAAAGAGTAGCACTGTCATTCCCAAAACAAAGTGACTATCGCTTTCAGAAACTTGTCATTCCTCTTTTATTTATAAAAAACGTACAGCCATTGCAATTGTAATACTTCACATACATTATCTCATGAAACACTCGTGATAGTTAGATATTTATCCTAGTTTTACAAAAGAGGAAGTCAGGCTCAGAAAAGTTCAGTGACATACACCAGGTATTACAATTTGGAAGTGGCAAAGACGGGGTTAAAGTCACATGTTACAAATGTGGGTCTGGTATTCTTTCCTCTACACTGCAGCTATTCACTTCCTCAAATGGTATAAGGTGAATTATTTCCTTCTCTAGCCTAAAAATACACAAATGGTTTATTTAAAGGCAAAGAAATTTTGTTATAAATGCTAATAATGGTGGTAGCATTGGACTCAGAAGTATTCATTTTAGAATCACCGGCAAAATTGAATTTTAATGCAATCTAGTGATTATATATTGCCAAATGCTGAAACTGTATCCACTTACTTTTAATCATGCTGACATCATTGGCTCCATCACCAATGGCCAAAGTAACAGCATTCCTGTACTTCTTCACCAGCTCCACCACCTGGGCTTTCTGGAGTGGAGTGACTCTGCAGCAAACCACAGTCTTACACGTGCAAGCAAGTTCTAGGAGATCATTCTTGACATCACTTTCTAGGGCATGAGCCTGTGTGATTAAAAAAAAAAAGTCAAAAAAGAACAGGAAACAATAAATGAGAGTTGAGAAACAAGACATTAAGAGGAAACAAGACAAATGTCTTGTTTCTCAACTAATTTGTTTGCTAAACCGTTTCATTCACCTCAAAAAGTCATTGTTGATTCAGGATCACACAAACTACGAAAACTAAAGAAATGAATATTGAACCCTACTAAGTGAATTTTAAAATACTACTAAGGAATGTTAAAAAATAAAACGAACTGTCTTTTATACATCCCCCTTGATATCATGCTGCACTGGAGAGAGAGAGAGTTAAATGCTGGAGAAGTTCTAGAAACCACTGAAATTGATGAAAACAAAAGACAGAACCTATCTACTAGCTCACCAAATTTAGTGTGAACTACAAATGATGATGATTTGTTTATTCTATGTGATGGGCTTTTTATTTCTTTGCATTGTTGTTTTGCATATTTAGTTTGTTGTTGTGATTGTTAAGGTGCAGGCAAGAAGAAATGCAGATGAGCTGGGGATTGTACCTTGAAGAACATAGTAACTGAAACCCAGAGAGGCCTGGGAAAAAGGGGGCATGCAAGCCGTGTCACAGAGAGGGTTCCTCAACCAGTTCCACTCTTGCTCCTATCCAAATGCATGAGATCCTTTAGAGATGCCAAGAAATTACTAAAAAGGATAGCACAATCCCTTCCAATTAACTGTGCAATTTTTTTCCTAGAAAATGTTTTACTGTTAAATTCTTTAATAAACACATTAAGAGGAAATAGAAATCTACTTAAACTTTGAGTCATCAATATCTTTGACTAATCTTTAGCAAGACATTCACAGCCCATCACAATCTGGCCCCTGCATTCCTTTTGAGTTTTATCTTTCACCACCACTTTTAAGTCTGCACTTTTTCCCATCATGCCAAATTGCTTGTTTCTCATGATTGAATAGGTTCTTTCTTGCCTCTGTGCCTTTGTACTTGCCGTTACCTCTACTTGAAAATATCGCGCTCTCAGGAAATTTTCCCTGATTCTCCCACAAGAAATTTGTCTCCCTCTGTGTTCTCAAAGCATGTTTGCATTCCTCTTTGTATTTGTAATACCACTGTGTGATTATCTTACCCACTAGACAGCAATCCCTAAAACAAGGACCATGTTGTATTCACAACCTTATCCTCAGACTTTAGAACTGTGAGCTGGGCATGCATAATAAAAATGCTAATGGAGGAATTTCTGGATGGGTAAATGAATATAAAAACATAACTCAGTACAGAAAACTCTTATGTTCAAACCTGTAATTCCTAGGTGAAACTGTGAGTTGACATTTTCAAATATTATCACTCTTTCTGAAAGAGAAAACAGGTAACTGCATGTCTTCCCTAGAATGGCCTCTTTTTCTCTCTTCATTTCTTTTTATTATCAGCAAGTCAAAAACTATGCTAAGACTCAGAGAGAAAAAAAAAAGCACAATTACATTCTGCAAAGCACCAGGATTGGAGCAGATTAGAATCATGATTTGGGACGGGGGACTTTCTGACCATACTAGCAAAAACATGGTCAAGTCTCCTTAAATTAAAAATGAAATTTCATGGTTCCATCAGTTTCAGACTTTGAAGCTGACAGGGTTCTTGGAGAGCATCTATCTTACCTCCTTCTTTCAACACACTTAGAGACAAAGAGAGAGAGGTATAAATTATCATTTGAGTACTCTAAGGCCACCACACATTGGATTATTTGAGCCTGAGAAAAAGTCAAAGTGTAACTCATAAGGTCCCCTTTTCATACTGTGGTTCCTGGGTAATTCAGCATGGGGGCCACCAGCTCAAAGACCCAGCTGACAGTCATAATTTTCAGTAACTGTTCATCTGTGCAAGAAGAAGTTTGTCTCATCTGGACAAACTTCCAACTGAGTTTGGCCTGCAACTGAGCTCTGTAACTTTCCATGGTGTAGAAGGCAACACATCATTATGTCTGGTATCCAGCTGGATAATGCTCTAAGCACTAAGAGCTAACAGACAGCTAATCACAAGGGAGAAAACACAGTATCCTCATATCCAACTTCTTTTGTCCTCTAAGAAACTGTCTGCAAGAAGATACATTTATTTTCCAAACTCAAAATTGAAAAATGATCATCAAAGCCAGAGAAAGATGTGAGATTAGTTCTTTGTGCATATAAATTATAATTGCACTGGAGTGTAATTAGAGCATTTGTATTTTAAATTAGAAACTCAGAAGAGTATTTTCATGTTTGTTCAAGATTTTGAATCTGAACTACATTAAAAGTACAATGCAAGTTCATTCTATTACGACAAGAACCAGATTTCCTAATCAAAGCAAATTGTTTGGCATTGCTGTAAAATGCTGCTATTTAGAAAAACCACTAGAGGTATATTAATGGCAATAATTTGGTACAGTAATTATATAAAGGTCAGGTTGTTCTCCACAAATCACAAACATTAGTAAGAGCAATAATTATAATACATCCACCTAGTTGCATTATTTTAATTAAGTAACAGTGAACAGTAACACTCCCCTCTAGAAAGGCGCTTAAATAATACTGCTAAGCGGTCTACAGTAATTTAGACAAGATTGATACTCTGTGAATTTAGCATTTCTCTGGAGCCTCCCCATCACTGTGGTGGTCCAAACAATAATGTATAAGATATATATTAGAGGTTTCCTTTCCCTTTGCAAACAGGAAATCATCGCATCTGCCCTATTTCTAGTAGTGACATTTGTCTGCAAAAGACAAAACAGGTCTCATTTTGATAGCACAAAGGAAATGATCATTGTGGTGAAGAAAAAGAAAGGACAAAAACCCTAGGCAAACTCACCAAACTGTGGCCATTTATGATTAAGGCATAATCTCCTGTTACGGTTTCTTCTACAACAGAATGCAACTCCAGCTGCTGCTTTTTTTCACCAACTACATGGCCATTGGAAAAATTGCTGTTTTGTCCAAACAAATTTTCTTTTGCTTTCCTTAAAGGAGAGGGTGAAAAGCAAAACATAACAAAGCATACAGAGCATACCTATTAACTCTAACAAGAAACTCGCCTACGGGTAAATTTATTTCATCATTATTCAGACAGAGTATGGCATAAGACCCAGTTTCAGTAAGGAAGCTGGATAATTCTTTGTGATGGGAACACCATAGCACATTTGCAAATTTCAGGATGTAGGAGAGTAAACATAATGAAAACACAATCCTCTTAAATGTCTCAAATTACATAAAACCTAAATCACCATCTTGAGCTGCATTTGAACTAGGGGATCTTGACAGATTTGGTACTAAAGATTGTCTGAGCTTCAAGGACTTCAGAACCACTATCTGGCATGTAATACTGTTAAATAATGGAAAGCACAAGACTAAAGACAATTGATGAAAACTTCTAGGAATTCCAGGGCATCTATATATAAAATAAATTCATAAATTTGAGGTACACTGTATTATGATACAGCTTAAAATAATGGTTGTCTGAGAAACATATTTTTTAAAAAATTTTGACAAGGAAAAAAATGATGGTACTTACTGAATTGGCATAGCCATTATAATAGAACACTTTCAGCAAAAATTGTACTCATTAGGTTAAAAAATAGAATAAATCTTCTGGGAAAAAAACTAAACATCAAAGTATGGAGGGTAGTTCCAAATGGAAACTCCCTCCAAATGCTCTAGATCTAATTAGCAGTAGCTATAAAGCAGTCCTGCCCACATCCCATGCCTCTCTGCCATCTAACAGGAAGACTGTATGATGACACAGCACCCTCAGAAGTGGCATTCTACTGTTCTCTCCAAAATGGAAAGATGATGCCTTTAAAGGAAAGGAAACTTCCTCTCCAAGGACACTTGAGTGCGGGCTTTGAAGTAACATATGGCAAGCTGACGTACCTACAGAAGCTTCAACCACAACCAGAGAACTATACAGCATGGGTCGCAACTGGCATTTACAAAATGAGTACTCAGGAGAACATGCGGAGTGAGAGAAGACTAGAAAGTGAATATTGTGTCTTATGGCAAAAGGAAATGGCTCTTTCTGTGTAGAAAATATTTATTAAAATGGTTTTATGCTGAAGCTCCTCTGAAAGAAGAGAATGTCCACTTATCAAAACAATTTTAGCTCTCAGCTGACTAATGACTTGAAAATGTAAAACTTAGTTTACATACTAAGTTTAAAAACAAAACAAAAAAATACATTAAATTCTAGCTCAATATCTCCTTCTGCTGTACAGGACCAAAATCACATCTGCATTTAGGAACCCAGAGGTCACATGGTTCCAAGAATGGTATCATACATTTAACAATCAGTTTGCAGAATCAAAGAAAAAGATTTATAAAGTCAGAGTGCTACGTGTGAAATTTAGGGAGTTACAAAGGGGAGAGGGAGGTAGAACAGACATGAAAAATCATTGTTTTAAGTGAGAGTATCAGACTTTCCCATCAGATAAGTATGTCAGGGAATCCTCCCCACAGTCATGAAAATTTACAGTGCCAAATAATAAAGAAATTAAGGGAGAAAAGTTCCTTGGAAATGAACATTTTTCTGACAATGTTACAGAGCTCATAAATTGGGTCTTCAGAAAGCACCACAGGGAAAACATCTCCTGAGTATTTCTTTTGAGTAAAGTTCTGACTCGCTAGATAAATGACTCAATCTCTGTTTTCCCCTCAGAGAGTGAAAACATTCCAAAGAAGGGTGAAGTTCATCAAAGTATTGGCTGAAATTCTATTTACTTAGGATTTTTCCCCCTTAAACTGTCTTCCTAACATCTCACATGAACCCTTTTACAGGCAGAAAAGGGACAGTTTTTCTGGCTCTGCTGAAACTGTCACTGCACTTTCTCTGCACAGGCCAACGTCTCTTGGCCAGATTGGGCTTTCATATTTTTAGACCTTTGCCCATGCTCTATAGCTGTCATTTCTTTTTTTTCCTAGAACTTAGCTCTTCAAACACCAGCTGGTTCTCACAAAAACAATTTATTAGGAAGGGAAAAAGCTACACATAACTCCCTTCAATAACTATGAACTATACATTTTTGCAAGCATAACACAGTATGCTTAACCACAGAATACAAGTAACAAATGCTAAAACAAAAGAGTGCCTGTTTTTTCCAAGCTGGGTAATGAAGGGCAGTTTATTACAATTCTTGGCATGCAGAATCGCTTTAAGAGCTGAGGCAACTGTGGCATTCACAGCCCATGCCACCAAAAGCACAGCAAAACATAGTTAGGCCCATACCGGCCTGCATACAACCTATAAAGAAGAAAAGAGGATGGTCAGAAAAAAGAGTTGTTTAGTTAGTCCTCTTAAGGCACTCTATATTGAAATACTAAATTGATCTGTTGGGGCTGGGCACAGTGGCTCACGCCTGTAATCCCAGTACTCTGGGAGATCGAGGCAGGCACATCACCTGAGGTCGGGAGTTTTAGACTAGCCTGACCAACATGGAGAAATCCTGTCTCTACTAAAAACGCAAAATTAGCTGGGCATGGTGGTGCATGCCTATAATCCCAGCTACTCAGGAGGCTGAGGCAGAATTGCTTGAACTTCGGAGGCAGATGTTGTGGTGAGCCGAGATAGTGCCATTGCACTCCAGCCTGGGCAAGAGAACAAAACTTCATCTCAAAAAAAATACTGATCTGTTGAGAAATTGATTGAAACCATGACACCCTGTTTAAAAGAAGAAAATCTGGACTTCGATACAAAATCTAGAGCTTCGAGCTTGGAACCTGGAAACCCGGGTTCAGATACAAGGACCGCCTCTGACATCTTGTGCTTCTACACTTGAGTTATCTGACCTCTAGCCACTTGATTAGCCAGTGACAGACCCAGGGCTAGAACCGAGGTCTTTGCATTCACAAAATTCTTAGTGTACTGCACCAAACTGGTTTATGGGTAGAGTCAGCCACAGACTGCCTCTAGGCTGGACTAAGACACAGCACTAGAGGGACAGTTAAGGGACAGCACTACCCTACCAACAGTAGAGAAAGGGAGAATGTACAAAAAATTTTGATTTGAATTCCTGGTTCCATTCTTTACTACACTACCTGAGAGACCTTTAAGGTGTTCAACCACTGAGATCAGGGGAATGAAACTAGCCAATCAATTTGGCTGGTGCCCCAACCAGTCAAAATAGGTAATGAAAACTTGGGTTGCCATACCAGTGTGTGCCAGAAGATCTACAAGATTACCTAAGTATGTGCTCTAAAATGTTATGATTCGTGAGAGAAATTTAATCTACTAAAATATTTTGCCTGGGTGACTAGGGATTAGGAATTAGGACCAAGATGCATTTTGTTTGGCCTGCACAGTGTCTTAAAGAATCTCTATGGCTTTACGGCCAAGATGATGCTCCCACTCACCAAAGGCCCCATCACTCCCTGATGTATAATAGATAGCCAAGATCACCTGATTAATGCTATATGCCTGGTCCTGAAGCCATCTGCATTTGTGATCCCTGCACATTCAAACAAATAATTTTCCAAATAGATGTTCAAAAAATACCAATGAATATTTTGTTAATCAAAGAAGAAACGTCAATTCCTAGATATACCACTGGGATACTTCTCAGAAGCAATGGAGTCACTTTATGATTTAGTTAGAGAACATAAAATTTTCTAATAATAAAATGTGATTAATGCTACAAAAATGAAATACGGAATGAGTTTTCCTCTCAAATCTCAGTGCATTTGCCTTTTGGCAGAAGACACCTGGATTGGTAAAATGTATTCAATGTAGTAATATTCTGAGAAACCAAAGCAGGGTTTAATTGTAGCTTTCTAGGCATGCCTTTAATACTAAGGCAGCTGGAGCAGCAAAATTAACCCAGGACTCAAAGTCTCCAAAATGGTTTCATGACACTAAATTTGAAATAAGCCGTATGTATGATCTGTATAAAAATTATATATCCATGTTTATGAAATAACCCAAGCACATTTGACAGGTTTAAATATAAGCATTTTGGTCATTTCCTTTCAATAGCTACTATCATTCATATCTTGTTCTTTAGTTACACTTTTTTTAAATGAACTCCCAATGAACTCAAAAGCATAACATAAGAAAATGAAATGGTGCAAATTTATGATTCCAATATTTCATCCCAAAGCTGTGGGTTTAGATATAGGGAGCTGAGATTAGGAATACAGAGAGCAACTTGGAGCAATAGCTTTTCTTGGAGGTCATTTTCCACTCAGTACTAATATTAAGAAAATGCACACTATAAATGTATTGATTCCTCTTACATAGAATGTTCTATCATACATTGCCTCTCTGTCTTATACTCTTAAGAATGGGATTACCTACAAGTCTGAGTGGAAATAACATTATTTTACAGTCAGCTGAGCAAGGTGACCTCAAGGCTCCTGAAATATTGAGTCTAGCTGGTAATTCTTTAATGTTTTTTATTCTGAATATTTTTTCTTCTCATTAAAAAACACAATGTTTTAGCTTTTTCTAATTGTAAAAGCATTACACAAACACTATTTCAACATCAGATAATACAAAGAGCCGTAAAGAAGAAAGTAAACATGATCCATAATTCTATCACCCAGAGACAGCCACTGCTTATATTCTCCAGATCTTGGTAGGTAGGAGCTAAGGAGGTGTGTAGATGTATAGTGTTTTATACATATATATGTACTTAAATATATATACACTTACACTTTTTGCAAAAAGAGAGATCATACTATGTGTGATTTTTTGTAATCTCATTTTTCACTTTATAAAAATATCATGGACATTTTCCAATGTTAAGAAACAGAAAATCACTTTGAATGACTGAAGAGTATTCCATGGCATGTATATATCAAAGCATTTAACAAAATCCTTTATGGCTAGTTATTTGAACTATTTCTCACTTCCATTATCATATATTGATATAGCAATAAATATTGCTTTTTATACAAATTAATACATTTGTTCACTCATTTTTAGGGAAATTTCTAGAAGAATCATTGTGCAAAAAGTATGCATATGTGTAAT